CCAGAACCACTCCAGCTCACAGGTTAGTCTGCTCCAAGCATTTACACAAAGGTCAGTCTGCTGTTGTAGTTAATGCGTCATTTTCATAACATAATTGGTGATATAGGTTACAAGCAAGTCTGGCGCTGAACAGAAATTGTCGCGCTATGCTCCTTTATTTATTGTGTTTTGTCATAAATAGTGAATTGTCCTGACACAATATTGGTTTCGCTTCTGTTATTATGGTACATTGACAAAAACATATACTTTTATTCACAGGATAAAACAGTTGTTTTGTATCACTAATTGCCCAGTACGATTACAGCATACAGTATTATTGTCACTGCTACATTTCTGTATGCTACCAGAAATTATTTCCACTACTAATTAATTACCGTTGAGCTCAAAGGTCCTATTAATAAACGGTTAACGAATGTGTATTTATGAAGACGATTTGTGAGACTGGTAAACTTATGATACGTACGATGGTCTTTCGTTCTACACGGTGCATTTCAAGGTCCTGCACCCATCCGTCGGTAAACTGTACCTGGGCTTGTTGCAGTGACCTGAAGTTACTAAACTCCAAGAACCGTATAATTATAAATATGCATATAAATATGCTACGATGAGATAGCTGACTTCATCTAACTAGCAAATGTTTGTCCAGGCTACGTTGGTGATACAGTTTTTTTTAATGTGTATGATATTTTTGTGCATACAGTATTATTGTCACAGCACGGTGGTTAGCACTGTTGCCGCACAGCAAGAAGGTCCTGAGTTCAATTCCACCATCAGGCCGGGGTCTTTCTGTGTGGAGTTTGCATGTTCTCCCCGTGTTTGCGTGGGTTCTCTCCGGGTACTCCGGCTTCCTCCCACCGTCCAAAGACATGCAGCTTGTGGGGATAGGTTAATTGGATAATCCAAATTGTCACTAGGTGTGAATGTGAGTGTGAATGGTTGTCTGTCCCTGTGTGTTGGCCCTGCGACAGACTGGCGACCTGTCCAGGGTGTACCCTGCCTCTCGCCCATGACAGCTGGGATAGGCTCCAGCGCCCCCCGCGACCCTGAAAAGGAGAAGCGGAAGCGAATGGATGGATGGATATTTTTGTCATGCGATTTTAAAGCTGGTCCTACAACCGCATCCAAGAATAACATGCAGCTTATCTCAGAACTGTCGGTGAAAATTATTCTTGGAGCTAGGTTTAATTGAGCTGCATTTTAAAGAGGTGCAATTTCACAATTTGTGTATATTTTCTAGTTCACTATTTTGTCATGTGTTGAGAAAAACACAGATTTAAAAATTACATGGTCTAATATTTACATTTAGCATAACTGCAACATTATTTTTTCGTTTTTTTTTTTTTTAAAGACTCGAAAGGACTTGAAATTCAAAATTTCAGACTTGTGACTTTACTCGGACTTTTACACCAGTGACTTGAGACTCGACTCTGACTTGCCTGACATTACTTGAGACTTAACTTGAGACTTGAGGATAAAGACTTGAGACTTACTTGAGACTTGCAAAACAATGACTTGGTCCCACCTCTGGTTATCAGTAATCAAAGTTTCTCTTTTATGAGAGTTTAGCTGGAGAAATCGTCGTTTAACCACGGCGTGATGTCTGACAGGCAATTACTTAAACTAGACAATTTATAAAGCTCTTTGAAAGAACAGTATAAGTGAATGTGAACAGCATAGAGATGATTGGAAATATTAACGCCTAATGATTTTGGCCTCGGGGGAAAATATAGAGCAAAAAGAGAACTGGACCCAGGACAGATCCCTGAGGGACCCCACAAGACAGACGTCACAAAAACAGTCAAGATCTTTCAGATAAATTTGACATGAACCATTTTAAAACGCCAGCAGGAATCATGATGCTGTAATCTACAGTATCAAAGTGAGGCCAACAGAACCAGCACTGTGTACTCAGACATCATCACACACTTTAAGTAGAGCCGTTTCAGTGGAGCGCGATTAAAGAAAACCAGACCTGAAAACATCCATGACAGAAAGAGTTAAGTTGTTTTGCTACTGTTTGGAAGAGCTGCATGCAAACGAGGTTTTCGTTAACTAAAGTGCTGTGTAGATGTCGACCTCTACAGTTTGTTTCCACGAGAAACACGTTTCTCCTTAATCCAAACTACAGTTGGGTTTCTGGCTCCTGGCGTCACTTTGGTAGAAAGCCTGATATTCATCAGACGACAGCAGATGGTTTTGTTTCCCCCCCAAAAAAGCTTCTGATGTGTAAAACTTTGGTGACAGCCACACACTGTTTATACAGATCACTGCTAGAGGACTGAACTTGTGACAAAGGGGATTTAACGAGCTGCAGAGTGAACAGGAAGTGAAGTTTTATTTGTGTTTGTGGAGATAAGACTCTGAGACTCTTTCATGAATCAGTGTGATGGTGTTCAGACAGTGAGCAGAAACTTTTCCCAGAGAAACTCTGGGCTCAGCTGATGTATGTGAGGGAGGAAGAGGAGCATCCTTGGGGACCAGGATTCCCACCAGAATGTGACTGAAGGCTTTTCTCATCGCTTTTCCCTCCGCGACCGGTCCTCTTGTTGTCAGCGCCTCGATCCACCTGCTTCAGTGGCACAGAGCGGAGAATCAGCGCCCCCTGCTGGTTGTGTGAGGGTGCCCGTAGCACTCATGTATACATACATGCTTGCATGAATGTGTGTGAGTGCGTGAATGAGGCAAAATGCTTTGAGTGCTCAGGTGAAGTAGAGAAGTCCATGCTTTTAACAATGACATCCAAATCTGGGCAGACCACCAGTCTTATTCTGAGCCTTGTTTTCCCATCTTTCCAAACTTTCCCAACTTTTCCAAGACAGAAACTCAGTTTTGAGATTTTTCAACACCACAGAAATCTATATTTCATCCCTTTAAAAACTGTTTAAAAGCCTTCCTGTATGCTGAATATCCATGTTGTTCCCACAGTGATGGCCTTCACATGACTTGCTTTGAGTTTCCGACTCTTCGTTTTCCTGAATCGTCCATGTTTTCCAGATGTGCTGATCTAAGAGAAGTTTGTCCTTCTTTGTGGTAAACATGTTTTTCTGTGAGACTTCCTCTGCTGTCTGCGGACGCTCGGCCGTATCCTGTGCGAGGCTTGTGGTTGTCGGATGCTCCTTGATGACGTGTCTCTTCACATCAGTCACACGGCAGGAAGAAATGTCCAAAATCCTTCAGCTGTGATGGAAGCTGCAAACTTTTAATTCACACAGTGACAAACTTTAAAGCTGTCTTACTATGAATGTTCCAGCTTATTACACTTTGCTGTCTGAGAAACAACCCCAGCACACCCTGTTTATAACCTGTGGTGACCAAAGTTTACCCAGTCACATCGTTTTGGGCTCACGTCTTTGTTACAGAAAGCAGGAAATGATAGTTCAAAATCTCAGAGCAGCATCTGAATCTCACGTCAAAGCCAAAAGTCAGCACTCAGTATGTCTTGATGCATCCTCAACAAACCAGGAAAGAAAGCTGATTGTACTGATCAGTATCCAGGTGACTTCTCCAGTCTCGCCTGACTGAGCCAAGGTTAGCTGAAGACAGCAATGACACCGATTCAAACCAAAACCACGACGATGACAGCACTGTTGCCTCACAGCAAGAAGGTCCTGAGTTCAGTTCCAGCATCAGGTCTTTCTGTGTGGAGTTTGCATGTTCTCCCCGTGTACTCCGGCTTCCTCCCACAGTCCACACACATGCAGTTAGTGGGGTTAGGTTAACTGCAAACTCTAAACTGCCCATAGGTGTGAATGGTTGTCTCTCTGTGACAGACTGGGGACCTGTCCAGGGTGTCCCCCTGCCCCTCGCCCTGTGCTAGCTGGGACAGGCTCCAGAGCTGCAGCTTTCACTCATTTCTTGAATAAAATATTAGATTTGGTAAAGTTTTCCTTGAAGGTTAAACTTGTTCTACACCTGTGCAGTGTTAGACAACACAGCATAGCTCCGCTGTGTGATTTAACATTACGTTTACAGTAAAGCTCACAGCTGGAGAAGGTCACTCTTGGAAATGTTAATAACTTGAAACAAGGTGCGGCGAACGTGGCGTCCAGGCTGTTCCAGAGCAGATAGATTCATAACAATAATACGTCTGTGAAAACATGCTGAGGCTCACATCTGAAGACAAACACTCCCCACAGTTTCTTCTGGAGGCCAGTGGAGAAATAACTTTGATGCATGGAGTAATGGAAACAATCCAAAACTCTGAAAATATGAGACAACTCCTCAACGGAGCTTCACGGGGTCAGAGAGTCATATTTACTCGAGTCTGCGCCGTCAGACACACTTTTTACAAACCTTAACAGTTATCCAGAGCTCACGGAGCATTTCTTAGAGTCTCCTGTTTCAAATACATACAGAATATGAATCCATTAGATTATTTAAGGTCTGCTTCACCAGCTGCAGCTTAGTGATGGACAGACGAATGCTTCTCTATTCATAATCAAGTCAAACTAAAACTTGTGATGTTGAAACGGTTCCTGTAGCTCATGCTTTTCATTGGTCATGTGATGTAAGACTTTTATATGATTTGAGAGACACACAGATGGTTTGTTGTACTGCTGTTTGGGCGGCGGCGGCGGCGTATTGGAAGAAAACAGAAACTGGAGATCGATTCAAACCTTCACAGAGCTCAAAGTGACAGGACACAAGATTAAATTCAGGATAAATAAATCAAATGCTTCATTTTCTTTCTTAACACAATAGGATAACCACAATGTCATATTACAGCTAAAGAAAGCACATTAAGAAATTTGTTTAAATCAAATCAAACTTAGATGTATTTGATTTTATTTAATTTTTTCACAATTAAAAGAAATGAAAGAAAGAGAAACATCAATTTGAAACAGTCTGAAGTGGAAAATGATTATTTTGAATATTTTTCTCCTGATCGTTGGTTTTTCAGAGCGTTCGTCTCAGTGTGAAGCTCAGCTGAGAAGCTTCCACCCTGTAACACTGAAGCTGTCTCAGAGACAGACACTCACTCATCTGCATTTTGCTCTCAGGTTCTTGGGCCCAGCATTATGATGATTTCACATCATCTCCAGATTACGACTCTGACTACAACTCCACCTTTGAGTACAGCTTCTTCAGTAAGTCCCTCTTAAGTTTCTTCACTAAGAAAAGAAAATGATTTCTCTCCCACAGGTCGCTGCGTCTGAAAACACCGAGGCAAACCAGGCCGCTTTAGTTACAGTTAAATATGAACATATTTAGACATATGAAGTTAATTTAGACTCTTCATTATTGACATGTTGTTCAAGGTAAAGCTGACATTCTTCAGCTGTAACTTGATGTTAATACTGCATGGACTGATGTTTAAATGACATCACTGTTTGTCAGTGTGACACGTGCAGCCTGACAGGGCAGCCCGGTGGGGGCATGCTGAGGGTCTATAATGGTGGGCCACAATATCAGCAACAGTGTATACAACATGTGCAAATATGCAATAAACTGAGTTCTCAGTCGCATATTTGTTACACTTGCATGTTTGAAATGATCCAAGTAATCTACAAAAAAAGATTCATCAACTCGAAAACTAAGAAAAATGTATCAAACTCTGAACATGGAATGAAACATTTTATTACTTCAAATCTACAGCCCATCAGTTATTGTTACTGTTTCCAGTGAAACGATGGGAGTCGTTTAGCTTTCAGAGGTGATGCACAGCTGATGGATGTTTGTTGGTGTTTGCAGGTAATACGAGCAGCGAGGACCTGGACAGACTTGTGGAACGCTACCTCGATCCAGACGAAACTACGGAGGACACTGGAGGACCAGAGGAGGAAGTGGCTGTAACCATGGTGATTACAAGAAGAACAACAGAGGGGGTCAACGCTCACGGCACTGCACCATTTCCTGTATGTTTGGTAAGAGCAAGTATTGAGAGGCGGGGCCTGACTGTGACTGAAAACTGGCATTTTTGGTGTTTATTGAAGCAGATTAGAATCAGGTTGGTACAGCTGTTGCTGGGTTGGAACATCTTAGTCGCACTGTGACAATTAGCTGTTAAATGGACTGGTTCTTATATAGCGCTTCTTTCTACTCTTCTGAGCACTCAAAGCTTTATACAACTTGTGCATTCACCCATTCGCAAGCACATTGTTCTAAGTACTTTCTAAGTAACATTCACACACATTCATAGTCCGATGCATTAGAGAGCAATTTGGGGTTAAAGTCTTGCCCAAGGATATTTGGCATGCAGACTAGAGGAAGCCAGGAATCGAGCCACCAACCTTCCGATCAGTAGATGACCCGCTCTACCGCCTGAGCTACAGCCACCCTTGACCATGAGCTACTGTTAGCAGTAGCTCATGGTCAAGCAGCCATTCACTTTACCTGAATCCTAGAATCTCTCCCCTCCTGATTATGTCGCTCTATCTATTTTCTCACTGCTTTAGTTGAACCTTCCTCCATCTGTCCCTCATCCTGTTGGGCCTGCCTGTAAGATGTGAAACAAAGTGACATTGATAAATATCCTTATTGATCCAGTTTCTCTTCTGAACAGAGCCAGTTCACAACAGCATCTCTTTAAAGTCTTATGATAATGTGGTGCTACTGAGCCAAAATCACAAGTATTCCTCTGTTGCTGAATCCAGTTGAAAAGTATAAATGAATTATGTATTTTAATGTTGGCTTAACAAACAGCTTCATTTTTTTCTCATTTCAGTGGCTCTCATACACCTTCGTAATTTTCAGCTTCGCCACTTCTTCCACACTAAAGGTGTGAGAGTGCACAGCGAAGGTGGGGAGGGTCCTGTTGTGTTGAGAGATTTGATTAGACAGTCTCAGTATTGAAAATGAGTGACGGGCTGTGCATCCGACCTTCAATTGACCCAAACGTGCATCTACCTCCCGGGAGAAGCCCGGCGTCCAGAGATATCGATCGTGTTCTGAGGAAAACAAACTCTTTAGCTTCTGCTGAGCTCCTTCATGATTCCTCAGCTCCGGGTTTGGATCGGAGCTGCAGGACCTGCTGATCCACATCCAAGCTGAGCTCTGCTGGTATTTATAGATGTGCTGACTGAGCAGCTGCCTGCAGACTGAGCCCATCTGCTTTGTGTAAAAAAGAATAGGTCTGATCTCTGCTGGCACCAACAAACACAACGCTTCTCAAATCCGTGAATAAAAACAACTCGAGTGCAGTAAAAAAAACAGCAGAAACAGGACAGCAAAGGATCTGTTCATGTTTAAACATTACATAGAGCTGATCTGAGGTCTGCTGTTCTTGGTCTTGTCAAGTTCACTTTGGTTGAGTTCCAGCATCCATTAACTCACAAAAGAGCCATAAATCTGCACCACAGAAGAAGAAAGGAGTTCACAAACTGCTGTTGATCTCTGTGAGGAAAAACATTTCATAATCCTGCCTCTGTGTCCCCGTCAGGTTTCTGTGGTCAGGCTGAGAACTCTGCTGAGCCTCATGGTTCACCAAACCCTGAGTCAAAGCCAAACCTTCAGGTTGAAACTCAGAAAACCACACACGGTTTCACTTAACTCCCAGTTTATGAATTAAACAATTTTTAAAAATATGTTTCTCTTCCACTGCATGTCTGTATTTCTTCCTGTTAAAAGGGAGTTTTTCCTTCTCACTGTAGCCAAAGCGCTTGCTCGTAGGAGGTCATATGATTGTTGGCGTTTGCTCTGTGCCTTCCAGTGCAAAGAGCCTCGAGGCGACTGTTACTGTGATTTAGCTCTGTGTAAATCGAAAAGTTTAAACTTTCTGACGGTCCTGAATTTAAATCTCTGTCAGGATTCATCCAAAGATGGTGATAAAAGTTCAACTTCCAAAACTTTATTTAGAGCCAACAAACCTTTTTTTCAAATTTGCTGATGTTTCTATAAACGCACCTTTCATGTTCATCAAAGCTAATGCTAGAGTTTAGAAAAGTATCCAGGATGGTTGTTAAGTGGCGAGCCTGTAGAAGGATTTTTGTTCATCATTAGGCTGCCCGCTGCACAAAGTGCGTCTTTATATGTCATTTGAGGACCTCCATCTTTGGTCCACTGACGGGTTGTTTTGTGACGCCAGGCGACGTCTGTTTTGTTTGACGTCCTCTGTCTGCTGTTGTCGGGAGGACCTCTGTGTACGCGCTCCAAATAGTCCAAATTTGGTTGTTGTACAAGTCTTTTAAAGACGGAGACACCTTTTAGACATCGTTTTCATAACGCTGCTACATGTATGTAATCCACCGTGATCTGCAGACAGTTCTCTGAGCAGATGGTCCAGTTGATGAACAAACTTCTCATACTTTCTGTCACAACGTCTCTCAGAGCAGGCGACCATCACAGCACCATTCACGCCCTCTGACAAGGCTTTTCACAATAAAACAGGATACTTAAAAATGAACCTTATATAATGCAAATGCTCTTTTAAACGTATGAAACACATATTTTAATGAATGACAATTTTAACCTGGTTACAAACAAATAAGCTGATTAACTAAAATAAATAAAACATTTAAAGAAAATCAGTAAAATGTAAAATAACCAAAAATGATCCACATGAATGAATCAACAGGCTAAGACTAGTTATCCATATTCATGTCATGTTGATAACGACAATGTTGACATTTGTAAATTAAAAAAGATTGCATTTATTAATCATGTACATTTCCTGCACCTCTCCACAATGTCCAAATAAGTGTCCAGGTTGGGTCACTGTTGGACGTCCTATAGATGTCCAGAATTGGTCATGGACCGGCAGACCCAATATAGACCTGACGTCCAATGTCCAGTGGGTGAGCTGTGCCCTCTCCCCTCCTACAAGGTCCACAGTCTGTGATCTGTGCTCTGATTTGTCTGGATCAGTAAAAACATTTAAATCAACGTTATTCATACAGCAGCTTTAACAAAAGTCCTTCAAAGAGCATCACGAGTGACTGCGCAAACACAAACAGTAAAACAATTACAGACAACAATCAGCAAAGAAGAAACAAACATAACAAACATAGATCATTTAAATACAACCTCAAAAACAGCAGCGATGTGGAAAATACAATAAACTTCTATTTATTGGAAACAAAGCAAAAGTGACACCTAGTGGTCTTAACGGGATATGACATCAGATCGCTGCAGACCTCCATCTGGAACAACGAGAATCACAACTCTTCATTATTCAGAGCAGAAGCATCACCGTGTGGCACAAACAGAGGAGACAGAGATCTCTGCTCCTGTGTTTCATACACAACCACAGGATGAAGCCACCAAACAGAAACAGTGACAACATGCCACTAACTGGTGCTCCAGTCTCAGTCCACACGCAGTAGAACAAACGGTTGTAGTTATGTTATAAATGAACATTAAAAACAAGAGATTCAGTTTTAAACCACAACAGTCACCTCGAGGTGCTTTTTACTGTAAGGTCGACCCTACAGTGATACATATGAAGAGTCAACAATTCTACTCCTCTCAGTTCTATAAATATCAACACGAGTTCTTTTGATTCCTCAGAGGCAGCCGATGGAAGACAGCACACTGCTCAGTAGACCATTCAACACTTTATTACTTCTAGAAGGGAGATGCCTGCACGACACGTTGCTGCAGATCTCAAAATGCTGGTGTGCCCCTTTATTACAGAAGCTCTCTCATTTCTTGTGGCGATCGTGGCTCAAGAGTTGGGAGTTCGTCTTGTAATCGGAAGGTTGCCGGTTCGAGCCCCGGCTCGGACAGTCTCGGTCGTTGTGTCCTTGGGCAAGAC